TATGTTCTATCTGACGCACATGCGTGGATTCATGAACTAACGTTGCACATTGTAGAACGTTCGCATGGTCACCTGCTGCGTGAATCATAGCTGAAAGCACGTCGTCCACCCACCACCTCTTGCGTGCAGCTCCACCCGCCTGTGGAACATCAGCTGTGATGTCATCTTCGATTTCGTCAGTGTTGGCAGCTGCGGCCTTAGCTTTGGCCTTGCTCTTCGCTTTGGAAGTTGCACGCTGCTTCTTCTTCTTCGGCACCAGCAAGTCGTTGACATCTACCACTGCCGAGTCGGTTGACTTGGCATTCGAGCGGTCAGCTGTCGCTTGGAAAATCTTGGCCACAAATGGCGCGCCGCCAATCTCTGTCTTCAGCCGGTCCACGACAGCGGGTAGGTGTTTGGTAAACATCCACTGCGGCATCACGATATCATCCTGCATGCTCGGATCCGCGATCATCGGCACCTGTTTTGAAACGTGATGTGAAACACAGTGAAACAGTGAAACACAAAGAAATGTTGCGATAAGCTGATAAGCCGTGATGAGTCAGTGACGCAGTGATGCACTATGATAGTGATGCACGGACAATGTACTGTACACCGCACTGCACTCAACTAAACAATACCATGACTACTTGACTACAACAACAAACCAACTAAGGTGCTCACGAGGTGTCGACCACCAGCTATGTACAGCTCTGCAAGCAATGTTACATCGTGGGTTGATGCCATAGCGCTGACGATCTTGCCGAGTGCGTGGAAGTTCTGCAAGATCATCAGCGTTGAGCTCTGAACATTCTCGTTCTGAAAATCGCAGCGGTCGCCGAACAACTGCACGAACTCTTGCTGACAGCCCAACTCCGCCAGGTAGTGTCTGATGCGCTTTGAAATGTCAAACACTTGGAAGGTTTTGTACTTCTGGCCATGGTTGTTCTTCACGTAGTCCCCATACATCCTCTGGTATGCACAGTTTCCGGTCTTGAGGCCCTCGTTTTGAGCATGGCGCGTCCATCCCTGCGTCTTGCAGTAACAAGGGTATCCCTATCACTTCCTGTGGTGCTCAGCAACCGTGCACAAACAACATCCAACCCTACAAGACCATGAGCCAGCCAGCTAAGATTTAAGCCAGGTGCATCCTCCACATCTTGAGACCCAACAATGGATTCGAGCCACGTTGGAGCCAACCCCCCGTGAAAGCAATTGTGCAAATCACGGAGATACCTCGACATTGGATGCCCTAGCCGACCCAAACCCAAACATCAAAGGCTCAAGACACAAGACAGTCACAAGACACAAGCTTGATGCTGCTACGCATGCAATCTCACTGCGCAAGCTGATTCAGGCTTCTGGGGTTGTGGGCACGACACGCTGCCACATCGCTGGGCATGCGCTGGGTAAAAACCCGACAATCTGGAAGGCCATTCTTCCTCGTCGCCATGACCATCGGATTTTTCGGTTGTTCCGCATCTGCGATGTAAAATGCTTCACATCTCAGCTGAGCGGAATAACAAACACTACACAAATACAAACGAATGACACACACAAAACTCACAAGCCCGAACCCACCCACCGACCCAATCACGCCGGGCCGCAGCGTACCGCAGCTCAAAGCCCAGTAGCTCCCCGAAGCTTCGTCCCATGTGAGCCAGGGCTCACCCCGCACGGATTGGATTATGCCTGTCTCAAAGATTCGTTTGACGTAGCTCCTTGTGGTGGAGCCAGTTTTCCTCTGGTTTTGTGCATGCCTCTGGATGGCCGGAGTGCCGTCCGGCTTGTACCATGCAACGGTGCGGCGTTGTCCTTCCTAAGGCTGTCAGGCTACGGCAACAACACATGATCATGACAAGAGAGTGAGCGGCTGAAACAACAAGTGACGACTTCCATGTTTATAGATGCATACGATATGCTTGTACGCTACACATAGAGCGCTGCGTATCACAAAGGCGTGTCAGCGCTGCCCGCGCTGCAAAGCCAAGTATTATCAGCTAGAGTCTTGGTAGATTTCGAAGATCTTCTCCAGCAGAACAACACCTGTCTCCTTGTTAAACCGATCAGTGAGATCCAACGATTGTCCGAACAGGACTTCGTGGGCGCGTTTGTACCTGGATGCGATAAGGGTCTCATGAGCTCATGTTACTACAGCAGCTACAGCCGCTACCGCTTGTTACAGCTGTTACAGCAGCTACTTTTCGCCGAGAGCAGCACGCATCTTGCATGGATTCCTTCACTTCCTTGGCATCTTCTCCGGCGTTGTTGCTGCCATTCAGAGAGGTCATCTCCCTTAGATTCCCTAGAGTATCGCTCATCACAACATCACCAACAAATTGTCTTTTTGTTGAATAGATTTCTCACAGAAACAAACTACGCACTGCCAGATGTTTGGGTCACGCCGGCGCACCGGTCACACCTGTCACATCGCCAAACATGACTAACGTCTAGCGTCCTCGGTGTTGATCCTTCTGGATCGAGTCGATTCAACGGGATTTTGGTTGTGTCACGTCACGTCGCGTAGCTTGTGCCAAAAAGGCTGCGACACAGCAGCCAATCAATAGCAAACAACAGCTTATGTCGTGACTGCGCAGCAACACTGTCTACATTGACTCAAACGAAATAAGTGTCCGACCACGTCGAGCAATTACTGGTTGCCACTGGTTGCCGCACTGGTTGCCACCCAGCCAGCCGCAAAAAATATGCAATTGAATAAGTGCCTGACACTCAGGAAGAAAGCATGTGCATGAGTCGAGACATGTCACATGACAACGACCATTGCTGATGGTTATGTGTAGTCACGACTCGGCGGCAAGCTGATCGTGCATTGCATCGGGATAACTTTTTTTTGTTTGCGTCAAGGTCCCGTGCAGCTGCAAGTCGTGGAACTCCATACACTGCATGCTGCATACCCAAGTGCTGCTAGCTGATGTTTGCTAGACATTGTGAGATTGTGAATATACATAAGACTGTGGGTTCCCGACAAAGCAAAAGAGTCAGCTGGAATATTGCACTCCGTGCTGATGACTGATGACTCATGAATTAGGAACGCATCTCGTGAAAGTGCTCAGGTGCTACAAGACTACATCAGACTTGCCCGGCAATGCCCTCACCTCTGGCTACCCGGGCCATTGATGCCAAGACTGGAGATAAACGTGCGGATGGATTGTGTCGTCGGCACATAGTCTTCTCCAGGCCTCTGCGAGTCAGGTCATCGAGCGGCAGAGCACCGTGTGTCAGGATGTAGAACAACACAATGGCTACGCTCTCATTGTGCATGCTGTTTCCCGCCATCCCGATTCTCGCTGATCTGCTGCATTCATCAAACGATGTCGTGGTTGGTACTGCTGCGAATGAACACATAGGCACTGAAAAGCTCAGCCACGTGTAGACTGGGAAGCCCTGTGCCAACAAGGCTTCGTTCGCAGTGAGCCATCTCGAATGATAATCGCTCCACATTACTCCTGTATTCCTGAGCAGTGTGTGCATATGACTCCAACTAGAGTATGCACTGAAGTCGGGATTCTGTGCCAAGCTGTAGCATCGGTTCCTGCAAAGCTTCTCGTAGCCTTCCCGAAATCGTTGCTCCATCCTCGTGAGACACATAGAGAAAGATAAGCTGTTCGATGCTCGGGGCACAATAGCATTGCCGTCAGCATCCTTGTGTACTTGCGAAGATGGTCTGCTAGCTGCCCACTCGAGCTCCGACTGTAGCTCCTCATCAGTTGCGACAAAGAATGCATCCCAAGGTGGTGTAGCGTCGCCCGCGTCACATATGCAAGGTCGTGTAAACTTTGCCACAAAGTCCACGAGTTGCATGTGGAAACTGCACGTTTTGTGTAGATGTCTACCTACAACATATTGCCGTTTTCGAGTAATTGGCCAACCAATTGCACCTGCATCAACTATACATGATTGTATCTCGTACAAATCAGATAGTAGTTCACTTAATAGTGAAACCGGGAATTCCTGGACGTTTTCTTGAATCCAGTATGCCTCCTGTATCTGGCGGCGCATGCTGATGAACGACATCAACCCCCACGTTGTCGCTCCTTGTAGTTCAGCCCTGCCACCGCGAATGCTAAAATCAGTACACGGTGATCCTGCAACATGAACATCTGCCTCAGGGGTGTAGCAATACGAATTGCATCGCATGCAATACGCGGAGCGTTTGGTGCATGACGTCGCGCTCAGTAATAGTTCCCTCAAGACTTTGTCGCACAACCGCATGCGAGACAGTGTATCCTTAGAATCGGTAGGCCTGGTAGGCCCGTTATAATAATGCACTGACAAACCGTTCGTTCTCAAGTTCTCAACTTATCAACTCACAAATTGAACTACCAAAACTCAACATGTAACTCACGGAATCGTCGAGCAGCAAGTCTGTCAGCTACACCCGGCAGCCAAAACTCGTTGATGTCACTGAAGAGACAGTTCGGTCCAGCTGGATGAACCATCAACTCTTGCTGAGCACACGCAGCCCACTCAACTGCCCAAAGATTCTGAATGGCTGGAAGTGTTTCGGTCGAAACTGTTTCGCCCAAGCTTCTCAACAGTCCCGCGCCCAACATAGCCAATGCAGTCGAAGGGCTATCAATTCCAGAGAATGAAGTAGATATCGACATGGATGCTAACCGTGCCTTCAAGCTCTGTGTGTACGCACGCTGGTACTCAAATGTACTCTGCTGCATCAGCAAAGCTGTTCCCACCATTCGTTCTGGCCACTGGAATAAAGTCAGCAGTCGCTTGCGCCGCTCACATAACGAGTCCACATGTGATTGTGATCTTGGTGTGCCTGGCGGTGTATCCTCAACAAGTGTGGGTTCGCTCGCCAAGTCCTCAGACTTGCTCGGCACGACTGTCACAGGCGCAGCTTGAGAAACATCATGCCCTTGCAGCATGCCTTGCACGGCAACATCGTCAGACAAGCCGCGTGTAACAGTTGCAGGTTCAACTCGATCCTGTACTTGCATGACTATATCTTCGTCTTCTGGCACCGGGACTTGCAATTCTAAAACATGCTTGGCCTCACCCTCCGCAGTGACAGCACCATGCACGACTTGCAACACAGCTGCAGCCTCGGCAGTAGTCTCTCGTGTCGTAAGCCATTCCGAAGTATGCTCCGGTTCGCCCTGCGCATTCGGATGTGCACACGCCGCAAGAGATGATGATGTTGATGATGATGTCGTAGCCCCTGCGTCACCTGTCTCTGCTACTGGTTTGGTCTCCGGAAGCACACCGTCTGCGTGTGAACCAGTCGCACTATGCTGATCATCGTGCTGGTGACTATCATGCTGGCCAGGGAGTGTTGGATCTGCGTGCGATTGCAATGAGATATGCGTTGGCTCATCATCGTGCCGAGCATCAGCTAGATCTTCCGGCGCATGCGACTTTGGCTGAACATGTTTCCCGAAAAGGTTCCGCATGCCTTCGCTGGTCGCAATACCAAACCTCTTGACTTTATCATCTTTAGCGCGCTCATCAAGCTGGACACCTAGCGATGCTGTTCCATTGTCTTTGTTGCAAGGCTGCTTCCTTGGCGTTTTCGGAGGCGAGCCCCGATTCTTCTGGATTGAAGCCTTTGGCCCTGCCTTGGCTTTGGCTTTTGTGGCTGTGGCCTTGCCGTTACCAGATGCTTTCTTGCCCATGGTCGCGCGACAGCTACCAGCAACTAATACCTATTAGTAGACTAAAACCAAGACTACTAAGCACAAACAAATGCTGTATTGGTGCACTGTGTAACGACACATATGTCGCGTAGACACACGTGCGTGTCATTGCAGCAATGCGCCATGTACGGCACACGGCCTAGGTTTTATTCAATTGAGCCATAAGTGGTGCCTTGCAGCTTGCAGTATTGACGACGCACACACAGACATGTAACATGAGTGAACCACATGTGCACACTCACATTGGTTAACTGTTGTGCGCAGTGACAGACGTGAGTGAAACCATGGAAAGGTGGAATGCGGCCTGCAGCGTGTTTCTTGAAGTCGGTTGAGCTTGACAGCCTGAGCGCAAATTATTTGCGCGCAGAAGCAACGGACTTAATGTATGGGTGTGCGATTGTAGTAGTGTAGCATCATTAGAATTATGTCACAACTGAATTCTAAGGGCTTCTTGATAAGCCTCAGAATTAGAATTGTCTAGAAGAGATCCTCAGGACTGGAATTCTAAGGGTTCCTGTGTGCCCTTAGGATTGGAGTTCTAGGGGAGACTGGGCGGTCTTAGGATTGGAGTTCTAAGGGAGGAGGGGGGCCTTAGGATTGGAGTTCTAAAGGTTCCTGGGACACCCTTAGGATTGGAGTTCTAAGGGGGGAGGGTGCCCTTAGGATTGGAGTTCTAGGGGAGACTGGGGGGTCTTAGGATTGGAGTTCTAAGGGAGGAGGGGGGCCTTAGGATTGGAGTTCTAAAGGTTCCTGGGACACCCTTAGGATTGGAGTTCTAAGGGGGGAGGGTGCCCTTAGGATTGGAGTTCTAGGGGAGACTGGGGGGTCTTAGGATTGGAGTTCGGAGGAGGGGGGGCTTAGGATTGGAGTTCTAAGGGTTCCTGGGACACCCTTAGGATTGGAGTTCTAAGGGGGAGGGTGCCCTTGGGATTGGCGTTCTAGGGGAGACTGGGGGGTCTTAGGATTGGAGTTCTAAGGGAGGAGGGGGGCCTTAGGGTTGGAGTTCTAAAGGTTCCTGGGACACCCTTAGGATTGGAGTTCTAAGGGGGGAGGGTGCCCTTAGGATTGGAGTTCTAGGGAAGACTGGGGGGTCTTAGGATTGGAGTTCTAAGGCCCCCCTCCCTTAGGATTGGAGTTCTAAGGGTTCCTGGGACACCCTTAGGATTGGAGTTCTAGGGGGGGGGGGTGCCCTTGGGATTGGAGTTCTAAGGGTTGGTAGGGGGGTTAGGACTGGAGTTCTAAGGGTTTGCTGGGACACGCTTAGGATTGGAGTTCTAAGGGTTGGTGGGGGTTTCTTAGGATTGGAGTTCTAAGGGCTCGTGGGAGGGGGGGGCGGCCCTTAGCATTACAGTTCTAAGGGTTGGTGGGAGGGTCTTAGGACTGGAGTTCTAAGGGTTTGCTGAGGGGGGAAGGCGGTCCTTAGGATTGGAGTTCTAAGGGTTGGTGGCGGTTGTTAGGATTATAGTTCTAAAGGGTGACACCCTTAGGGTCATAATTCTAAGAGTCCCTGCAAGGTGGGCCTTAGGATTAGGGTTCTAACGGTTCCTGTGCAGGGTGGCCCTCAGGATTGAAGTTCTAGAGGTTTCTGGGGCTGTTAGGATTGGAATTCTAAGGGTTCATGGTGGGAGACCTTCAGGATTGGAGTTCTAAGGGTTCATGGGGGGTGACGCTTAGCATTGGAGTTCTAAAGGGTTCCGGTGCGCCCTTAGGATTGGAGTTCTGGGGGAGGGGGAGGCCTTAGGATTGGAGTTCTAAGGGTTTCTGGTACACCCTTAGGATTGGAGTTCTAAGGGGGGGTGGTCCTTAGGATTGTAGTTCTAAAGGTTCATGGTGGGTATGAGGATTGGAGTTCTAAGTGATCCCGGGCGTTGTATTAGGACTGGAGTTCTAAGGTGTTATTTAGGTATTGTTAGTTCTAAGGTGTTATTTAGGTATTGTTAGGGTTGGATTTACAAGGTATAGAGTTCTCACGATGTTGAGGTGACCTTAAGATTGCACTTTAGTCCTTGCAATTAGCATATCTTAAAACCTGCCGCGCCTGTGTGCACGTCCCGACAGGCGTAGATAAGCTTCATCGCCTCAGTCGTTCAACATAGCGCATTGTCGAAAACAAAACAAAACATGCAGCGTGCTCAGCGTGTGGTCTGACAATGTCTGGCAGAGCAGAGCAGCACACTTTTTTTCATTCACAGACTACAGAGTAACCGCCACCGCCACCACCGCCACCGATGCCGATTCTTGGCCTTGGCTGTAGAAGCGTCATGTTACAAATAATGTTGCTGTGCCACTCAGACAATATCTACAAAGATACGTGCTACCACTGCTGCCAGGAATCTTCCACTATCGTCTTCTCTTTGTTCTCTGTTCACCTTGCTTCGGCCTGGCCTGCTCCTGCGCCCAACTAACACACAGCACGCACACAGCACACAGCACACAGCACACAGCACACAGCACACAGCACACAGCACACAGCACACAGCACACAGCACATAGCACACAGCACGCACGCACGCACACACGCACACACACACACACACACACAACACCAACATGCAACACAAAAAGATAAAAAGATAAAATAGATAAAGAAACAGAGAGATAGAGAGAGAGATAGACAGACACACACTCTTACACTGAGAGGCTTGGAGAAAGAGAGTGACAGAGAGAAAAAAGGTAATGTGTCCTTGGCATTGCCGCGGCGCTGCACTGGTGGAGTTCTGCCACGGGACTCCTGGTCATCGCGCAATCACTTACACGTATGCAAGCATTTGACAGCATTTGAATGTTCACTGCTGTACGTCCTTCTTCTCATCTTGCTCTGGCTTCCCTTGCTGGCCACGAGCCGGCGTTCTGCTTCTGCCCCGGTTGCCACGTGCAGGTGTCTTGCTTCTGGCACGGGCCTTTGCTGCTGAGGAGAAATTCTGCTGAATCACACAACACACCTCACCTCACATGCTCGAACGCAATCATGATGCTTCCTTGCTCTCGTCCACAGGCGGCGTGGTCATCGAGATGTCTGAGGTGTTCAGGTCGGCTGCCTCGCCAAGGTGACGGCGACAATACATGATATATTTGCACTGCTGCTGCTGCTGTAAGACTAATATACGACAATCCACATGCAGCACCGAACCTTGCGGCGACGCCTGTCCTTGTCCTTGTCGCCCTTGTCCTTTTTCTTTGGCTCCTGTCGCTCCTTTTCCTTTTTGTCCTCTTGGTCCTTTGCCTTGGGCTTGCTGCTGATGTCGGTTGAAGCAGTGGCAGTCACAGCCTCATCAGATGATGAACTGTCATTCGAGCTCGAGCCATCATCGTCGGATGAACTCTTCTTGGACTTGCTTGCCTCTTCCTGCTTTCGCCTTTGCTCTGCCGCTGTTGTCTCCTTTTGTAGCCTATCACTTGTTTCCTTTTCCTTTTGCTCCAGCAAAGCTAGCCGCTTCTCCTTTTCCTGCAACCTCATCGCAAGCTGTCGGTCCTCCTCCTCCTCCTGTATCGTGCGCCTGTACTGCTTGGCAGCCTCTTCATGTTGCTGTGCCTGGTAGGCTGCATCTAGATTCACGCGCATGGCCTCCAGGCGCTTTGCTTCTTCTGCGTTTGCTCGATTCATTTCAGTCACTTGCTGCCACTGCTGATGCATACGTAGCTGCTCGGCATGTTGTCTTGCTTGTGCTTCTTGCGCCCTCTGAGCGCTTTCATGCGCAGCCTGCACGTCCTGATGTTCAAGCAACATTCATAACAACAGCTACCTGCAAAGAAATCGCACACGGCATCACTTCGCAACACAACGTGACCCCATGAATTCAATACAAGGCACACTCTTCAGGTCAAGTCTGGCTGCAGGTCCATGAAATCCATGATAAGTCTGTGATGAACGGGTCCTGCACGTCACAATCATAGTCGCTAGTCGCAGCCACAATTAACTAGCTACCAAGAAGCGATCAAGCAAGACTTGAACAGAGACTGACCGCTCGACAATTTACACGCCAGTCCTCTGCAAAGTGGAGTCCGACGATGGGCTCGCAGCTTCTGTTTCGGCCGGGCTGGCTGTTTGGACGATCATGGGTGCTCGGGACGGCCGGGGCACGGGCTTCCGCGGCTGCTGCTTCGGCAGTTCTGGTGCCGGTTGCCGTTTCGGCTGCTCTGGTGTCGCTTGTGCTGGCAGCGGCGTCTGCTGTGTCGGTGGCCCTGGTGGCTGCGGTTGCCCTGTCTGTGGCGGCGCTGGCGGCGGCGGCGCTGGCGGCGGCGGCGCTTGCGCCTGTTCTGGCGCTTTTGCCACGCACGGCCGCATGGGTGGATACATAAACTGCGTTCCCGGGATTCCGGGCGGTAGTCCCAGCAGGAGCGACTCGAGCGCGGTCAGTTGCAAAGGCACAATTGGTGGCGGCAGCAGAGCGCCGGGCGGAGCAAGAACTGGTTGCTGTGCCTGGAGGGCAGGCGCAGGAGGGACTGGCAACAAGCCAGGCTGCGGCTGCATCACTGTTTGTAGCGGTGGCGCGGGCGGTGCAGACATGAACGGTGCACTTGGGGCCCAAGGTTGTGGCTGCACTAGGTGTGGCGGGCGTGGAGCATACGGATGGGGTGGTGGCGGCGGCGGTGGCACCCGCGACCACTTGGCCGTGGCGTTGCGTAGATCTGCCTGAGATGCCTGCACATTGGTCGCTGGGGTTGTGGTGCCTTGGATAGGTGGCTCTGGTCGTGACGGCGGCGGCACCAAACGCGGTTGTTGAGGTCGAGCCTTTTGTGGCAGCGGTGATGTGCTCTTGGGCGGCGTCTTCGGAGCCACCGCGGTGGAACAAGGCGGGGCTTCATCCATTGTCTTTCCGTCGGCTGCTGTTGTGTTTTAGTGATAGGCTAGGTGTTGGAGTTAGGAGCGTCCACAACACACATGACATACATGACAGAACTGACCCTATGGACTCGTACAGGCGTGCAAGCGACATGCGTTAATCCACACTTCATGTCATGCAGCTCTGACGAGACCTGGAGAAAATTCTGCAGCACACACAGCGCAAAACACAAACGACACAGTCTCAAGCGTGACACAGCCCAAGCAAACACATGCGCTTGAAACATGCTGGCTGCTCACGTCTTGGCGCCCGGCCGGCTTGTCTCCACCGTCTCATCGGCTCGCGCGTGCAGAGAGTCATCGCCTGGCGGACATTACTAACAAAATGAGCACGCTGCGTTTGTGATTGCACTGCCGACAGCGACTGCGACACACACACACACACACATACATACAGTTACATCTCATCTCGACCTCAACTTTCGCATGTTGCAGTCAGTCAGTAAGATTCTGGCGGAGTGTATGCAATAGTTCCAAGCACAAGCTGCATGTACCGGCTCTGGATGACTTCAACCTCATTGGCATCACTCATATTTGTCAATTGACAAACACTACCCTGAACCCGGACCCTAAACCCTAAACCCTAAACCCTAAACCCTAAGCCCTAAACCCTAAACCCTAAACCCTAAACCCTAAACCCTAAACCCTAAACCCTAAACCCTAAACATAACCCTACCTAAATCCTAAGCCCTAAGCCCCTAAACCCTAAACCACAGCCAGCCATGCGTGCAAGACTGCAGGACTTGACTGACCGATGATCTTCTCTCACATGGAACTGTAAGCGTGTCTGACAAACTTAATGGCCTACTAGAAATTCACTGGGCAGCTGACTGTCTTGACGGAGCAGCAGCACTGCTGGATGAAGCAGCCGCGCTGCTGGACAACAACTCCGAGCTGCTCAGCAGCCCCCACCAATCACAGTTGCAAGGCGACGGCACGCGGTGTTCGCGCAATGACGCAAGCATGACTGCATTGATTTTGGTGAATTCGCCAATGAAATCCGTTCCAGAGCATATGTGATTGCAGAAGTCGTTCGCGCAGCTGTCGTGCCACCAATGCAAGCAGAAAGGACACTGCACTGTGTTTCCCACGGCGCTTCTGCAGAAAACACATCTGTGAGTGTCGACAATTCCAGCTGCTTCTGGCACGTCCTGATGTTCACACAGTTCACACAGCCTACAGCCACTACATAGCCACTCACCTACCATGACCCTCCCAGCATGTTGCTCGTGATTCTCCAGCATACAAGCGTGATGCATCCATGTAGCACTATCTGTATGTGTGTTTATATCAGAACGGCAGTGTATCAGAAGCCTACCACACAACACACGCGTTGACTCCCACAGGTCCTGCGTACCGACGTCATTGCAATCTCTGTCCGCAAGCTGCGCACGCACTAGGACATTCAATGACATCACCTCACAAAAGGCTTTCAGCCTCAGAAACTCTGACTGGACAGTATCCCTTCCAGCGTCTGTCTTCTTCAGCTTTCTCATTGTGGCTCCCACAAAGCTTATAAGAATGTCTGCGTGGTCCTGTTCAATGCACAATTCAGGAAAGCCCATGCCCGAACTGACGCCAGTGCGATGCATGCTTGTGTCGGGCGTGGAATAAAGCACTTTGTTCGTTGCGTCCAGCAGCACCTGCCGGCCGGCACGTCTTTGAAGACCACGCCTGTGAAACAACACGATTCAAGCACTATGTGTCATTCAACTATTCAACCTAAACCCTAAACCCTAAACCGTAGACCCTAAACCCTAAACCTTAGGCCCTAGCCCTAGACCCTAAACCCTGAACCCTACAACAATCTAAGCTTTATCAAGAGTTCATGGTGTCATCTGAGTCATATGGTTCGAAATGAAAATATACATTTTACTGTTCAGCAAGTGGCTTGCCGGTGTTGTAGATCCAGTGGACCCACATGACTTCTTGCGAGTTGTCGTTGAATTTGCAGCGCACACACTTGCATCTCTGAACAGGATCTTGCCCTCTGAGCAACACCAAACTTAAGCTGCGATCCTGACCGGCTGGAAATGCTTTGACACGTGCAAACTCGCCCATGGCTACCAGCATGTGGTGGCAGGAAGTCGACCATTTAACAAGCACACGACCGGTTGCACCCATGTCAACTATTTTCTGTGACCCCAGAGCACAAACCAACTGTTCTGGCATGCTAGGTTGGTTCAAGTTCAGATTGCCCTCGCTGTCGCCATCAGAGCTGACATCACTTTCGTGGTCAGACGCTTCGGCCGCCGCAGAATCATCGTGGACGCCCTTGCCCCCAAACGTGTCCTCCAGATCCTGACTCTCTAAAGCTGATCTGCCTGGCTGTCTCGTTAAATGCTGTGGCCGGCGACCGGAGCAACCCGCGCTGATGTCCTTGTTCTTCTCAGACCGGGCACGCCGCACCAACAAGAGCAGCGCCTCCTCCTCGAGCTCTCCAGGTGGCACCAATTCTGCATGTTGTTGCAGCTCTATTGCTGCTCTGTGCACATCTTCAGGCGACGCTGAAGCTGCCGCGCCAGCGCACGCCTGCTTGATTTCGGCGGCTGCAAGGCCGTCCGATCTTCACTCGCTGCACTGGAGTCTGTTTGGTACTCCCCCTCGTCGCAGAGGTTGTTGTCCTGCAGGTATGTGTCCATAGCGTCACCTGCAACTTCCTTGTCGTCATCACTACAGTCATCATGGTCCCGGATTGGTCTTTTTCCTGCCTTTGATCTGCCTTTGCCAGCTGCTTTGGATTTGGTCTGTGTGTTCTTTGACTTCGCCTTGGCCTTGGCCTTGCGCTTGGGCTTGTGAGGCTTCTTGCTGGGAGGTCGAGGGAGTTGCTCCGCAGTCATCGCAAAGCATTGCTTCACATCAGCCAGTGCCAAGAATAATCTTTCCCCGCCTGCCAGCGCGGCCAGCCCGTGCACGAGAAGATGTGCCCTGCCTGGTGCGATTACAGCGCAGCCAACATTGAACGAAGCCCTGCCACGAGAGCACTCATCATGGAATGTCGACATGAGCAATGTAGACTCTATGCAGTTGTATTCATTGTATTTCCACTCAAGATATACGCCGGCATCTTCTTGCTCAACAACGTCCACTTTCGAGAACATAACACTGACAGAGAACTTCTCAAGAACTGCATAAACATGTGGCAGCTGATGCGACCCTGACCCGGCTGCGCAGCTAGACTGGAAACCGCCAGAAGCATGCCACGCTTGCTGTCCACACCAACCGCTTCGCCTTGTGATTGTTTAGCCTTCTTCTTCTTCTTCTTGCCATGCAGAGCAGCGGTGGCTCTACGCCATCCCAGATTATAAGATTTGGCCCAGAGAATTGCTTCAGGCGACGTGAGCGATGTGAAGAACTGATCGTGGTCTCCAAGAATCTTGTCCTGTCGGATCACTGACACACCATCAGCCTTGTCGCCGTTGCACGCTGGGGCCACGCCCGGCGCGTCTTGATGGTCTTGCGAGTGAGACGCTGGAACCACGGGCAGCGATGAAGACATTCGATCAGATCGAACCACTGCCAACGACTGCCTGTCCGTAATACCCAACACTGTCGGGCGATCGCTTTCCTGAACCAACTCCACAGGCAAAGGGTGTGACCAACGAGACGGATTGCCCAATATAGCAAGTGCAGCGCCATGGTACCCAGTGATTGTAGCCAGCATTTGTTCAGCAGCATGTCTGATACGCGACCATTTCTTCTGTCTTCGCATGGACCCATCTTCCGTGAGCGATCGCTTGATAGCAAGCCTAGCTGAGAGAAGCTCCAAGGAAATATTCGGACATCTGCGCCCAACCAGTTTAATCACGCTGTTGATCCCCTCGATCGCTTGTGTGTCAACAGGCTGCATCCTAGCCAAAGATTTCAGGAAGCCATACATGAAGCTACCTGACACGGACGGAACGTCCGGGAACACACCGTGATCCCTCATGTGCTGCAACTCGCGACTGCACAATGCACGGATCTTCCGCGACGAATGGTCCAGATCTTCCAAGCCAACCATAAGAAACTTCGTGGCAATATCTTTCCTCTTCTGTGAGAATTGCCGAGGCGGATCCTTTATCAGCCAGAACAATTGCCAAGGAAACTGTTGCAACGGTCGTATGATACGTCTGCGAAATGCAGCCCAATGCATCAGTAGCAAACGCAAAGCCACATAACGCATGTGCAAGACATCCCTGTCGGAAAGACCCTTCTGATCGTCAAGACATCCTGATAGATGCATCGCCTGAGAAACAATTTCTGGAAGCCTGTGGAAGAGAGTCTGAAACTCGCGCGTGATCTGACCAAGTTTCGATGTGATAAGCTTGAACATACATTCACCCCCGCGAGACTCTTTCTGGACGAAGAGCATAAAGTGTCGCAACGGAGAACGAAGTGTCCGACACAGAAACAACAGGCACCAAAATACGCACGACGTCACAGCGCGAAGTGTGCCCGTGCACCATTTTGTCAGCTTTATCTTGTAGGAGGCCACATCGTCCATCCCATCAGACTCCTTGACAAGGCCAGAGTCACCGCCGTCACCTGTATCTTCCACACAGCAACAGGATGCACACAACACTGAACACGTGGCTGCCAGCTGCGTGACACCCCCCTCAATGTATAAGTAAGGCACTTTGAACACATACACTTATCACATTACATGAACTCATGAGCTCTCACAGGCTCTCACACTGCACACTCTCGCTGTCTCACATACCCACAAACCCACGCAAAAGATAAACCCCCAAACAAACAAACAAACAACCAAACAAACAAACAAACACACAACCTGAATGATGTGTACATTGCGCTCGCTGCCTGCTGCTGGTGCTGCCTCGGCTGATGCTGGGTCTGCTGCGGCTGCGTCAACATTTTCCGCGTCGACCGCGTCGGCTGCTGTGTCGGTGTCAGCCTTCATGAATTTGCTCAGTACTCGCAGCATAACAGGCTCCACCAACGGCCGCCCCCGCTCCAACAAAAACTCTTCTGCACCCTCCACGCTCCCCCACCTCCCTGACGAAACGCTCAACGGGTATCTTTGGCCCAGCAGGCGGGTGTCCTCACTCGCTTCGCCTTGCCCATCGTGCACGTCCTGCCAAGCTGTCATCATAGCTGACGCTTTCTCTCGCCAGAGATTTGTTAGTTTGGCGATAGAGCTATAGTACCGGTCAAAGCCGCGAAGGGTTTCGCTGCTAAACGCTTCGGCGATAAGCTCGTCCACCAACTCGAGCCCACCACGCACCGCTGCGTGGAATATGTGAAGGTAACAGTCCGACGGAATGTAGACGATGCGGTCGACGTCCTCTACACTGGCAGCTGTCCTCTTGCGTCTGGCCAGCTGGTCCGAGCCACGGTCGGTTGTATCAAGATATACAATAACTGATCTGCTTGCGTCCAGTGAAGAATCCCTGAGCTAAGTCGAAGCACTGCAATTACAGTTCAATTACATTACATGGTGCAACAAGCGATTACGACTATGACTCTATGACAGCTGAAAGGCTAAAAGTAATGAGTTATCACGAAGTTATCATGTCATGCTATGTGCTGACTCACCGCACGACGCACGCACTGACCGTACTCATCCAACTAGGCAAACGCATGCCAACTTCATAATGCACCAAACCAATGCACACCTAGCTTCTCTTGGCTCAGTTCTGCGACGATGTCGGACACAGATGGCACTCCAATCGAGTTCAGTTGCTTCTGCAAAATACCCGCGGCGTGTTCCGCGGTGCACCCCGACACGATCTGTAGATCTGACCTGACAATCAACGGCACGAGACACACAAACAAGCAATGCTGCCGCAACACCGCAACACGTGTGTGACCGTGTGTGATGAACGAGTCTGCTAACAGAAAAAAAACACTGATAGCTTGCAGCCGGACAATCATCCAAATAATAAGACAACTCAGGCTCGTGCAGACATCTTCGAATTTTCATGAACGCGTCGGTTGACACAGGAAAGCTCTTGAGCGAAGCGGTGACAAGTCCTAGCTCAGCCTCTGTCACGTGGAGCTTTTCTCTCCTCCAAATGGATGAATGTGTAGCGTCTGCTCGCACGGATATAACCAAAAGGCTCCAAGCAGATTCGTCGTACGCGATGTCGGCGAGGTCTGGTGCGTCCACACCTGGTACCGTGGCGCGACCAGTCGAACGCAACACCGACATAAGATCAGACGTGTAGTCCTGCATGCTCGCAGCCAGCGCTGCCCCTGTACGTATTTCGGAGCGTATAACCGTAGATCCCGATAGATCCACCATGAGCAACGCCCCAAAGTCTGCGGCTGCAACGTGAGCAATGTTGCGCCTAATTCCCAAGGCAAGCGTTGCAGTCGGTGTAAGGCGTTTCCCAGAACGGCCCGTCTGGAGAACAAGCGTTGACTCATTGCTTGACTTAGCATCTTGCAATGATTGTTGCTTCGTTGCACGTGACGCAGACACGGACAGTTTCCTGTTCAAACGTCTCTTTGCAAGCTTCGCAACAGCCAGCTGTTCAGACATTCTTCGAAGCGATGCGCATGCCTGTGCCCCAACAATAGCGCAACGAGCCGCGGTCATGTTTGCAAAATCATCATGCTTCAAGTCTTTTAACTTCTGCAAAGTGAGCCTGGACCCTCCCCAGCCAACATTTCTCACAGCCAACTGAGTCTGGTCGGCAGCTGCTTGTACTGGCACAATCTGCTCACCCACATGGTTGTCAGCATGTTCATGTTCAGTCTCGTCTTCATCTATGTCCAGGACTGTAAGCGATGATGACTGTGTTGATCTACTGGCTGCCCACACATCGTGTGCACGCAACTGCGACAACTCATGTGGCGCAGGTGACGGTGAAGGTATATGAGACGGTGCACTCGTGCCCTCGCCCTCCATAGCTACCAATGAGACACCTGGGTTGGGTGTGTCATCGTCGTCGATCACGACTGTCGCACCGCTTGAAGGTACTGCTGCGAAGTCGATTAAAGGAAGCCCCAAATCGGGCAGCAACGCCTGCACGTCACTGTGCTTGACAAAGCGCTGCATGACAGAAGGAACCTGAGGCAGCAACATAATTTTGCATCCAAGACACTGGGCTCATGAGACAAGTTAGTTATTTCCATGACACTACATCACACCCGTGCTCCAACAACAACGTGCCAAACAAGTTACAAGGTCACTGCACGTTTGCAGCCAAACAACTTTTGACATCGCAGCATGTACTCTGCTCTGAGCATGACGCCGGAGCTCACCCTGAGTAACCAGAATGTCCACAAGGATCGTTTGAAGTGGCACTCTGCCGTACACACTACAGCCAGAGACTGTGGTTTTGTTTGATGATGCCCAGACATTCAGTCTTCTTCCAGCAATCGCACGGCCCGCCATCTGATCCGCATGTGTTTCTTCTCTGCCGTGTGAACTGTTTTTTTTGTTTGATCATGCCCAGACGTTCAGTCTTCTTCCAGCAATCGCCCGGCTCGCAATCTGATCCGCATGTGATTCTACTCCGCGTGTGATGATGTATCGTATTAAGATGGCAGATGTATGTGCTGCAACCACCACCTTGATTTGTATATGGCAGAGCATCATACTCTTTGGGCATCGCGGCTTCGTCTCGTGCAAACCGTGCAAACGATACAAACACTCAGACTCTCACTCAGCGTCACAGTCGCATGCATGCATGTGTGGGGGGGTGAAACAGCGACTAACTGAAACTGCCACAGTTGCATGAATCGTGTGTGTGGGGTGAAACAACGGCTAACTGAAACTGCCACAGTTGCATGATGTTGCATGGGTTGTGGTGAAACAACTACTCCTAACTGATATCGCCTAAGCTCATGTAGTGTCTCATCCCTACAAATAGTATGCCCAGCACAGCCCTAAATCTATAGTTATTCCATGTCGAAAGTGTTCGACTTATACATTCTGGGGTCATGTTGTGGTGTTTCTTATAGCCGTGCACTCTTAACATCAACTCTTCTGCGCCACAAAACATCAAAATTTGGCCGACCGAAAATATAGGGTTACCTCTCGTGCCTCCACAAAACATCATGTTTCAGCCAGCCCCCCCCCATGTGCTACAAGCTCTTGCCGGAAAAACAATTAAGACCCACCGCCCCCGACCAATGAAAAGCATAGTCCATAGGATTGTCGGAAACCATCAGTTCTAAGACAACCTGGTCCATATTTCGTAAGCATTTGGATGTTCATAGCTTTTGTGGCTGTGTTTTCACGCCAAGCCGAACCTAAACCCTAAACCCTAAACCCTCAACGCTGGAGGACATTCAGCTGAAGTCTCGCATCAAGCCTCTTCTAACTCACCTTCCAACTACGCCCTTGAAGCTAGATGCCCCAAGCCGGGAAATAGCAAAAACAAGCTTAGGGCTTAGGGTTTAGGGTTAAACCCCACGAAATCAGCACCTAAACCCTTGAAAAGCCTTGCACCCCTGAACCCTGGCAAGCAACGACCTGAAGTCCCCTGTGCTCCGAGAAAACTTTGTAGCTCTTAGCTTCAACCGGATGTACGTCTCCCTAAATCCTAAACCCTAAACCCTAAATGCTGGAGGTCATTCAGCTGAAGTCTCTTTCGCATCAGGGCTTCAGGGTTTAGGATGCAGGGTTCCCCCAGCATCTGCAGGCTGCCCTAGGGTTTAGGGTTTAGGGTTTAGGGTTTAGGGTTTAGGGTTTAGGGTTTAGGGTTTAGGGTCTCGCCAACCACTCTTGAGGTCCACGAGCCCACTCACTAGTTGTTTCAACAAGTTAAAGTTGGGATGTTCCCAAAGAGCCCAATACCCCTTATTTAAGGGAATGCTCCTTAAATTATATATATATGTATATATATATATACAGATCCTTAATATCATTCAAGTCATCCTTAATTAAGGGGTTTTGGGGCTCTTTGGGTGCCCCATTATACTCACAATCCCTAATTAGGGATTCTAGTGCCCCCTATTATATTCGCTATTAAGGACTGTTAGTCCCAAGGCCAAAGGTGTAGTGGCTAGCCCGGGACGCCAATCCTCTCCGTAAACTTCTCAAAGAGACTTAGGGTTGAGGGTTTAGGGTTAGACACCACCCACCTCCTAATTTAGGGCCATAGGGGTTCAACTGTGGTCTAAGGATCCCAACATTATAATGTTTATGGATGGGGCCGCCTTCCCCCCTTCCCCATGCCCCCCCTCCCTCCCCAAAGAAAAACCAAAAAAACATAGTGCTAAACCCTAAACCCTAAACCCTAAACCCTAAACCCTAAACCCTAAACCCTAAACCCCTATGATGTCCCACGGTATGGGTGCTCTTACTGGGCCGAAGAGCCAACCCACCCTAAACCCAGGTTCCTGCGGGGCTTCGAAGACCCAGGTTTAGGGTTTAGGTTGGGATGTTCCCCCTTATACTTGCTAACAGTCCTCAGTAGGGAATACAGTAACCCCTATTATAATCCCTACTAAGGACTGTTTGCTTCAGGGTGAACATCCCGAGGTTTAGGGGTAAAGGGTTTAGGGTTGGAATGCGCCTAATAGACTTCATGGACCTTCGGCCCCTCATGAACAGCAAACACATCTCTATATGGGGGGTTTCCGAAAATAGGGGGCCCCGAATATAGAGCCCCAAATAGTAAGATCCCAAGAAGGCATCTATGGCCCCTGGGCAAGCACGTGGCACTTAAAACAAGACAGAAACCACATTCTCAACCCTAGTTGCTGAGTACCCTGCCACCCAACGAAGGTTAACCTTTCAAAGATGGTAGGATTGTACCCCCTACCCTAAACCCTAAACCCTAAACCCGAAACCCTAAACCCTAAACCCTAAACGGTTATCTACTCAGCCAGTAAGAGTTAGATGGCGGAGGGCCGCCAAGGCACTCCGTCGACTTCCAGCTCCTGCATTTGCTTGGCCTCTGTGTTGATAAGGGGGGGGCCGGGGGGTTTAGGGTTTAGGGTTTTGGGTTTAAGGGGGGGGTGGCGGGCAGAGTGTTGAGGCTGGGATGTTCCCCCTTACACTACGGTCCTTAATCAGGGTTCTAGAACCGTTGTTATAATCCTTGTTAAGGACTGTTAGTATCTGGTGGAATCTCCCACTGTCTTGGGGTTTAGGGTTTGGGTTTAAATCTTTCGCTTCTTCAGGGTTAGAGGCTTCGCGGACTTTATGGCTTCGGTGGCATTTTCGGGTTCAAGGCCATGGGCAATCAAGAGCTACGTCCGCTGTAGATCAACCCTAAACCTAAAACCTAAACCCTAAACCCTAAATCCTAAGCCCTAAACCCTGAAACTTAAACCCTAAACCCTATTCAAGGCCATCGGCAATCAAGAGCTAGGTCCGCTGCAGATCTCCACATTCAAACTCACTGCCCTGACGCTTTCTCCTAGACCCCAGAGAGGCAAAACACAAACGCTGCAATGATGCCCGAACACCCCCCCCCCCTCCCCCAGAAAAAATGAAACAAAAAAAGACAATTTAAAAACAAAAACAACATATACATATATATATATATATATAAATATAAATACAAATAAATAAATAAATAAATATATATATATGTATATAAAGGAACAGATAAAAGCAAAGTAACAATGAGAACACCTCTGGGGTGGCACCCAAAAGTCCAGAAATCAGAAACCTTAAGCCCGAAAGCCCTCACTCATTGAGTTTGTTGCGTTGACTCTCCCAAATCAGACTTTAAAACAGAAAAAGTAACAGCTTACCCCCCTGGCCCAAACAAATTCAGGGCTTTAGGGTTTAGAGCAACACGGGAGCCTAACCCTAAACTTTAAACCCAGTAGTGCCGATCTCCTCGGGTTTGAGGATTAGGGTTTGGGGGTTTAGGGTGTCGGGTCTAGGCTTGGGTTTCGGGTTTAAGGTTTATAGGGTTTATGGGGTTTAGGCGAGGCTTTGTGTTAAGGTTTACAGGGTTTCTTCATAGGAACCCTAAACCCTAAAACCTAAAACAAAAAACCTAAACCCTAAACCCAAACCCTAAACCCTAAACCCTAAACCCTAAACCCTAAACCCTAAACCCTAAACCCTAAACCCTAAACCCTAAACCCTAAACCCTAACCAGGCTCCCTTAACCCTAGCGCCCATGTCCAGGCCAGGCGCGGAGACAGCGAACTGCTGGGGTTCCTGGCCTCGGGCCACACCTGCTGCGCTCGGGTGCTTGGAGTTAGGGTTTAGGGTTTAGGGTTTAGGGTTTAGGGTTTAGGGTTTAGGGTTTAGGGTTTAGGGTTTAGGGTTTAGGGTTTAGGGTTTAGGGTTAGAACAGATGGCGCACTTCTCCATGTGTGCGTGTGACATCCATGTGCAGGAGACAGGCGGTCCCCTTCGACCCTAAGCCTCCGACTGCATGCAAGACCCTGGGAAAATCGGCCAGAAGTCGGATGCAAGACTTCGAGGGCTTAGGGGTCTTTGATGATTTAAGGCATGGGATGTCGAAGGGGCAACTTCGCTGGCTCTATCGGACCCTTTCGTCCACGTGCTGTTTATCTATCGCGCTGTAATAAAGCTTAACCACATTCCCCTGATTCCCAACACCAATCCCACTAAGCTGAGTCGGAGTTCCCCTAAACCCTAAACCCTAAACCCTAAACCCTAAACCCTAAACCCTAAACCCTAAACCGCCTAAACGCTAAATCCTAAAGAGCAGCTCAAGGGCCTCACAGGATCATGTGCTGGGTTATGTATACCTGCAGTGCCTTCCAAGATCATAATCATAGGCATAACAACCCGGAGCCCTAAAACCCGGCCGGACTTATCACAACTCAATAAACCCTAAACCCTAAACCCTAAACCCTAAACCCTAAACCCCGCGCCTTTCGGAAGGGGAATCCCAGGATTTTGGACGCCAAACCTTTGGCTTTTCTGTGGCTGTTCTGGGGCGTTGCGAAGTTTAACCCTACAGTCTCTAAATCTCCAAGGGTTTCGACTCTCGCACTCGCCGAAGCAGGTTTAGGGTTTAGGGTTTGGGGTTTGGGTCAAGGTAAGCCACAACGTGCTCTAAATCTGGGAGGCAGAGAGAGGAAGAATGCCTGGGATTCTTGACTGGGAGACTT